AAAAAAGTATAGAATTTTTTTCTGATATGATAAAAAGGAGTTGAGATATATAAAAAGTATCGGTAAAGGAAACAAGTATTGACAGAATTCTGATCTGATTATCAGACAGGACAGATAAACATTGAGGAAAATCATATCCACCCTCCGGAGGGGGCGGGGGGCTGGGGGAGGAATTAGTGGAGGAGGAGGCAGTGGACATGGTGGCTCCGCGGGCCCCGGACGCCGCCAGCGGACACTAAGGTGCGGTAGCGGGAGGCGCTAGAGCGTGTGGGAGCCGGCGCGGCGGTGCGTGCGAGTGTGTAAGGGGGAGGGGCGGGGGTACCGGGAGGAGGAGGAGTCTCTCGGCTCCCCCTTCTCAACGCGCACCCCGCCGCCTTGGTGAGGGGGAGGGGAAGGCTGCGAAAACAAACGTCCAACGGCCCCAACCGCCCGGTCGGGCTCGGTGCGGCGGTCACGGCCGGGGCCGCGAGGAGCCTGCAGCCGCCGCCCGGGGCATCGCGCTGACAGGGGAGAGAGGCAACCGTCCGGATCCCGCAGCCCGGGGGCCGCCGGCAGCCAGGCAGGCTGCACGCTCAGGAAAGGCCCGCGGCTGCAGGGAGGGCCGGGGTTTCTGCTTCTGGGGACCGGGTGGGGGCTAAAGGCCCGGGGGGTAGCCGAGTCTCCGTGGAGCCCGCGCCACCGCAAACGCCACCGCCGCCGCCTCAGCCCGCTGCTCACTCCAAATGGCAACTAATTCCCCCACCCGGGCCCCGCCCCCGGACCCGCCTCTCGGTGCTCGGGACCCGGCAGCGGCCGCAACGGGCCTTCCCATTGGCTCTTCCGCCTCCCACCAGAATTCGAGTGATTGGTTCCAGAATAGGAGTGACAGAAGCACCTACCAATGACAGTGGTGAGTTCTGCCTTAGAGGCGGGGCGGTGGGAGAGTGAGGAGGGGGCTGAACGCGCGGGGCGGGGCGTGAGAGTTGACAGCCTTGGAGGTGAGAGAGGGACTTTGATTGGGCTGCCCTGGAAAGTGGGTCCCCGAGTGTCTGCGCGCGCCCCGACACCCACAGACACAGACGGGCGCACGCCTCCGTAGGCAGGTTGCGAGGACTCCACCCTCCAGCGGCCGATTGTACAACTTGAGACTGAGGCAAACTTGACTTTGAGGTACACCTGTTTCTGGTAGGATGTTCTGGAGTTGGCACCGGCAGAATCCATGCTTTCCCCTGATTTCAGGAATATCTTAGTTTTCGTGGCGAGGAGACTGATGAAATGAAGCAGCAGTGTCTGAATACTGGGTTGAACAATGGGCTGCTCCTTCCACAACCTATCCTCACATTGGTAGTTATGCAGTGAAATGAGGTAATGAAATTTTATGTTCCGAGACAATAACTCTGAATTGCAGGGGTCAACGTGGAATTGTACGACGCCATTACACCATCAGTTAGATATATTAATGGAGGGCACCCTGTTGCCTTTCCCCAGAAGCAAATGGCCTCTTGGGAGAAATAAATACCAGACTTACTGTAACAACCCACTGTGATAAATTTAGTTTTTATTCTACACTGAAACTGAAGAGATACAAAGATTTTTGGATGACCGCAGTGATTTTAGATGACTATCAGAAACTCTACCATAAACCAAGGTTTTAAACCTTAATTAATCGGGAACAATTAATTTAAGGGTGTACTGTAGTACCCTCTATTAATTTCCTTGAGATTAAAAAAAAAGAGACTGAAGTGAGAAGTCACATTGGTCTACTCTTGTGTCTGCCCACACTGACAAGCTTCCTCTGATTTCAGGCACTGTATGCAGGGGTCAGTTTCACTTAGAGAAGCCATCCTTCTCTGCTTCCTTAAGCGGTCAGACCAGAAAGCATACTTGGTTCTATAAAAAGTGCATGAAACAAACCTAATATAAATACTAGAATTGCACCCAATACTTCATCCTGTTAAGAGACTAGTGATAGCTCCTCACTTTATCGCACACTAGAATAATTAACATCTATTGAACATTCACTATGTGCCCGTCACTGTTGTAAGAATGTGTCATGTGTTAACTCATTCGGTCCTCCTATAATCCACCAGTAGACACTATTATTGGGCCCATTGTGTTCTCAGCTGAGCCGAAAAAAGGCTAAATGTGTTGCCTGAGATTACTAGGCTAGTAAGTGGAGGGCTACGCATCTAACCCAGGTGGACAAACTTGAGTTTGTGAGTAAGCCCTCTGCTCTAGCACATCACCGCTTACAGCTGTGGAGTACATGTTTGTATTTTCAGTAGTCTGCAAATCTCATCTGTAAGATAAGTTCCCATTAGTTCAAAAGAAATTTGACAAGTGAAGACACACACACACACACACACACACATATATATATACATATATATATATATAATTTGCTTTCCAGAATAGCTTGTTTTAATTATAAACAGAGAAAAGACTTTACTCTTTCAAATTCAGTATAATTGACCTGTTGTGTCACTGTTTCCATCTAAAATTAAAGTTACTCATTAATTAGGAAAGTGCATTCTTTCTTGAGGAAAAAGAGTGATAAGTGGCTTTTTCAGAATATCGAGAACAAAAGATTTGACAGATGTAAAGGTGTAAAAAAAATGCTGGTAAATCTCTAAGTTGTTGGTTTGATTACAACATGGTTTCATTATAGAAATGTCATCTCTGTCCACTCCTAAATAAGTATGGAACAACCTCAACACATTAGATTACAATAATTCTGAATTTATACCAAGCCAGAGTCAATAATGATCAATACTTGATTTGGATTTAAAACAACAACCTGGCCACATTTTAAAGGCTTTCTGTGTTTGTTCAAGTCTACTATAGCTAATTTAAATCAGACATTTAAAGTGAATCTGAACGACCTACACAGAGAACTACAGGGGTAGGCAAAAGTAGGTTTACAATTGTTCATATGGAAAATAATACAATAATTAATAAATCATAATAAAAGAATAAGATCTGTGTTTTGTGTATTCTATAACTGTAAGCCTACTTTTGCCAGCCCCTGTAGTATGATCACAAAATACTATTTTCAGTTACTGATAAGTCATCATGACCTATTTGGGTGTTCAATCACCTTCTCTTTGCTACAGCCACCTTGGTTGTCTCTTAATCTATATTCTCATGAAATAAGTACTGATTTTCATGTGTAAGAAATTCAGTCTCCAAACAAATCAAAAGTGAGCTAAAATAAATCTATTGTCTGCTTTCAAATGACCGTTTGTTGAATTCTTAATATTTTATTCTTATTAAGGATCTCCAGGGGGATAATGGAAACTTTAGGAAAATGTTCTCAGTAAATTGGAAACCCCATTGAAAAAGGTGTGGATTGCTGGGCTAGAAGAGCATTGTGACACTACTATGCTAGCTGTTAGATGGATAGGCCCAGCGCAGATTATCTCTGTTGTAACGACCTCTGGAAAGTCTACATAAGACTTAATGTTAGTAAGAACTCTTTACTGTGTTGTCTGACTAGAAGACAACATTGAAAACACAATTTGGTGGCATAGGAAATACCTTTGTTCTCAGTAGCCCATGTCTTGTCTGTGGGACAAGAATCCTCCATTAGCTAATCTGAGGTAGAATTATATTATACATACTTCCTAGTTCATAAATGGTAATGGACTATATTTTAGGTTTAAATGAAAACTTGGAATCATTGGCTAGATTTGATTAATATGCAGCCCCATGTGAAGAGGGGATGAGATAAAAAATCATTGGACCTACAGAGCTACTAAAACGTCTCTTTTCTAGTTTCATCCAGGTTTGCCAGGCTGTTCATCCGAATCTAAGAGGCTGTGAGGCTGTCAGGCTGTCAGTATTAGCAATGAGGTCATGGCTGATAGAAAACACTAAACAGATCCACGCTGATGTTCATCTTAAGCTGATTAAGCTCTCAATGTAGGTGGATTCTTTATAGCAACAAGAAAAGCCTTGCCTGAATTTTTGTCCCTGGCAGATGCTTACAGTAAAACTTCTGACAGCTTGTGACAGCCTACGTGCGCCTTTGCACTAGGTGTTCCCTTTGCCTGAAAAGTTCTTGCCCCAGATATCCACACAACTTTATCATTTCCATCAGCTCTTGACTCAGATGTCACCACCTTCACAATGATAGCTTTTCTGAAAACATTTTTAAAAATTTATTTTATATATATAAATATATATAAATAATAAATGTTATTATATATAAATATCTGAAATCAATCTAATTGAAGGTAAAGGGAGAGAGAGATAGAAACATCAATGATGAGAGAGAATCATTGATTGGCTGCCTCCTGCACACCCCCTACCAGGGATCGAGCCCACAACCCGGTCATATGCCCTGACCAGGAATCAAATCATGACTGCCTGGTTCATAGGTGGACCCTCAACCACTGAGCCACGCTGGTTGGGCTGAATACCTTTTTAAAATCGCAAGCACCCCTAGGCATTCTCTACTCTCTATTTTTCCAGAGCACCTATCACCATGCAACATATTATATATTATAATTATTTTTTGTTCTGTCTGTCTAGAATATAAGGGCCATGAAGGTAAGACTTTTTACCTGTTTTACAACTTCTGAATCTCCACAACAGTGCTCAGTAAATGGTAGACAATCAATATTTGCTCAATGTTGTTGAAAGAGTAGCAAATTCTATCCAGTGCTTGTCTCATGAACTAAAACTGTGCTTTTTGTCAGAAAAAAAATGTGATAACAGGTATGTTTCTGTTGCAAAGGCATAGCCATATAGCAGAAAAATGTTCCATGTGGCTCTGTAAACCATATAGATATCTGCATTGGGGCTGGCATTCAAAAAGAAAACATATCTTGTAGTATGGTCCTTATACCCACAAAGTGAAAAATATTAGTCTTTGGAGGCTCATCAGAGGTTGAAAAATGGAAAATGAAATTGGTAATAAAGAAAAGGCAGTTAAATTTTTCAGAAAAAAATAACCACCTGAAATGGACAGAGAAGGACAGTTGAGAAGGATCAGTTAGGGAGTGACACCTGCTGATGTGTAGTTAGCTCCATCTCACTGGTAGGAACACCTATTCTCAAGAGGCCTGTATAAAGGAACTGAAAAAATTAAGTAGAAAGGGAACATTTCATGTAAATAATAAAAAATGTGCTTTCTTCCCCCCCAAGATTTATTGAGATATAGTTGAGATAAGATTGTGAAAGTTTAAGGTATATAATGTAATGGTTTAATATAGGTTGTAGTGAAAAAAGATTAACACAATAAAGTTAGTTAACATATCTTTTACCTCACATAGTTAAAACAATTTTTTTATGGTGAGAACTTTTAAAACATTCTTTTTGCATCTTTCAACTATACAACATAGTATTGTTAGCTTACAGTCACCATAATATACATTATGTCCCCAGAACTTATTCATCTTATAATTGGAAGTTTGTATCTTTTGACCAACTTCATGCATTTACCCACTTCCTACCTGCCTGCCGCAGGCAACCACCGATCTCTTCTGTTTCTATGAGTGTGGGTTTTTTCAGATTCCATGTATAAGTGAGATCATATAGTATTCATCTTTCTCCATCTGATTATTTAACTTAGCATAATGTTCTCAAGATTCATCCATGTTGACACAAATGGCAGGATTTCCTTTTTATGACTGAATAACATTCTATTGTATCTATTTACCACATTTTCTTTATCCATTTATACATTGATGGACATTTAGGTTGTTAATATGCTTGGCTATTGCAAATAATGCTGCAGTGAACATGGGGGTGCTGATATTTCTTCAAGATACTGACTTCATTTCCTTCTAATATATACCTGAAGTGGAATTGCTGGTAGTTCTATTTTTAATTTTTTGAAGACCATATTGTTTTCCATAGTGGCTGCACCAATTGACATTCCCACCAACAGTGTGTAAGGGTTGCTTT